CGGTACGCTTCTAATACTGTGTACCCATGCTCTAGTGTGCCCCTCACAAAATCTTGTGCATGTTGTCTCCTTTTCCAACATTTCCAGTAACTAACAACACATCCCAACTTTGTGTGCACAAGTCTCTGAATGTCTTTAGGAGATAGACTTTTCCCTTTAACGAACTGACTTTTGACAAATTGTCCAATAACATTAGTAGAGGCTTGTCGATGCTCACCTGAAATATGTCACAAACCACATGTGTGCTCACAGGTATATGTGCTAAGAATAAATTTTTGGGACTCCGCCAACCTTCTACAATAAACCTATCACTTGCACTTTCGTTCACGATATGCAACCGTCACAACTAATGAATTTGACTTTTTGGTGATAAACTCAAAATTACCTCTCACAACAACAAGTTTTAGCTTCCTCACCACTTCCTTTTTGTTGTCAAATAAATACCCTATGCACAACTCTGATCCATCCGTAAAACCATGAGCTGATTCACTACTACCTGCAATTGCCCCCTCTAAACCTGCATAAACGACCATAGTGTTCTCTTCCTCATAAACTACACCTTTTGCATAATCTGTATTTAAAAGAATTTCTACATTTGCAAGAACATGTACGGGGTCTTCCCCCTTAACATTTTCATTCTACCTCACATGACCAACCTCTTCTACAGTGTCCTCCTCACCACCCAAATCACTGCCTACTCTTGATTTTTCAACTAACAAATTAATGTCCTCGTAGTTCAAATTAAAATCAGGCAAATCTCTGCCAACTTCCTTGTTATCCCTTTCCTTTGAACTAACTTCCAATGGTTTATCTACAAAAGAAATCCTTAAAATTGGCCTCAAACCATTATCAGCCACATCAATCATATATAACTTCACACTTTCATCCGACTTTAATGTAGTAGGAGGTATCTTATAATGTTCAGGAACTCTGCTTAAAACATACTTCACAATTATATCGCTACGTGAGCAACTCAAATCACCTCTTCTAATTATTTCATTAATCAACTCATCAAAACTAACCTATGTGCTCACAGCAATTGGTATAACTTCTTTGCTCTTCCCAATCCACTTCCAACAACTTTCTTCCTCCACCCACTCACCAAAATATTCAACACCCAAAATAACTTGTCACATGTCTAATAATAGCCAAGTACCCATAATGCAAGAAAAAAAATATTATTAATTGATTTATTAAAGGTTGAAAGATTTTAAAAAGCATATGCACAATCACTTGAGCGATCTAGTGTATCGCCTAAGTGATCTAGTATATCATTTACTGGATCGCTTAAGCGATCCAGTATAAATAAGCCTGGTCACTTAAGCGATCTTATGCCATTTACTTGATCGCTTAAGCGATCTTCTGCTATACACCAGACTTTTAGCAGATTGCTTAAGCAATCTACGAACTACTGCACTATACCAAATCGCTTCAGCGATACACCAGATCGCTTAAGCGATCCATCATATCCATAACACATTTTCAGTCACCTCCACCTAAAATCGGTGCTACCACCTCCAGCTACCTATAATGCAAGAAAATATTCAACAAATTTCACTCCTTTCAACTTCCATTACATCAAACACAATCCAACAACCTAAACAACTAAATCAAAATCATAACCCAAACCCAATCCATCATTAAATCTTTGTAAATCGAAATATAAAATAGAAATGGGAGATACACATACCTGGACGAAATGTCAGGAAGAAGAGGAGGAGGAGAATCTGTGGCGGAGAAGATGTTAATGGTGGAGGAAGAAGATAGTGTTAATGGCGAGAAGAAGAAGATATATAGGACGCAGGAAGAAGAAGAAGAAGAAGAAGAAGATGAAGACGAAGCTTACAACCAGGGGAGGGATCCGTTAATGTGGCGCGAGGAGGAAGAAGAAGGTGTTTGGGTTTGTTTGCAAGAATTTCGGTTCCTTGGGCACATATTATAAGTTTTAAAAGGTTACACAATACTTCATTAATCCTAATTAACCTGTAATCACGTTTAATTAACCTTAATAAAAAAACAAGGCTATTTACTTAACACTTTCAAACTACATGGCCCTTTAATTAAATTTGAACTCCATATGGTCTTTTAATAAAATGCCCCCATAGCAAGTCGACATGGACGGTCTCAGACACTCATCTCATAAACGTGCTCAATAGTCAACATATAACTGCGTTTCGTACACTTTTTTTTTTAAAAAAAAAAAAATCCGAATACATTTTAGGATAGTATTTAGCACTTGAAAACTTTTTTTTTTTAAAAATATTTGGATTACTTTTTAACCCATTAAATTTGTTAATTTAGCTAAACATCTCCTATAATAAAAATTTATAAATTAACAAAAACGCCTCACGCACCCACTTGACTTCCGGCAGCCAGCCATCAACATCAAACGGTGGCCGTCAATCACCAGAATGGCGCACAACTGGTTGAGTTTGGCTGGTCGTCCGCTAATCTTGTCTTTTCTAGTTAGATATATAGTTAGAAACTGGTTGTCAATGGCCAGATCCACGGTAGATCTAGCAGGAAAAGACAAGATTGATGCACAAACGGCCAGATCCAGCCGGTTGTGTGTTGTTTCGACGTTGACGGTGGCTGCTGGCAGGTGACAGTGACTTAGGTGAGTAGAGGTGTTTTTGTTAATTTATAAACTTTTATTGTGAAAAGTAATTGTTAAATGTTTTGAGTTGAATATAATATGATTGAATTTTGAATTTAATTATTAATATTAAAATAAACACGTTTTGTACTGGATTTTATAAGGTAGTAAAGTTGAATAGAGTACGAAAAGTGTACCAAACGAGGGTAAGATGGTAGAAGATTTACTATTATTTTTTTATTTTTAAGATTTATAATTTAATTTTATAGTATATATATATAGTACTTAAAAGAGAATAATATTAAACTCATAAAATTAACAACTAAATTGATTGTATTTCGTTACAAAAAGGGCATGTTTCACATTTCCCTTCTCTCAATTTTTTAGTTTTTTATTTTTTACCCTCGATAACATGGAACAAATCTTCTCATCATTTTGTTTTTAAATTCTATGTATATTTGTTAAATAAGGAAAAAAAAGTATTAAATATAATTATTAATGTCTAATTCTATACGAGACGTAGGTGGTGTTTGGTAATTTGTCTCATAACGGTATAGTGTTGATTACTAAATAACTTTGAATAAATAAGATTGAATTAAATATTTAAATGTTTATGATATGTTTGTTTATAATTTTTTGATATTAGATTATGAGTATTAAGTGTTTATATTTATAAATTTTAAATATCCTTATCAATATCAATTATGATATACATTTACAATTTATATTACAAATCATGAATTTGATCAAATATAACGAAAATATTTTAATTTTGCAAATTAATAATTTGAAATTGAATGCATCTACCATGTTTGCCACAATAATGGTAAAATAAGAACGTAAATAAAATATGTTAATATAGATTAAGATTTTATGAGATGTGATTGGAATTTAAAAATTGGAATAGAGATAATTTAAAGAAGTTATTTAAGACAAATAAACAAGTGTAAAGCCAAACTTTATCTTAAATGGTAAATATTTTGTCTTGATAGGTGAAAATTAAACAAATGTAGCATTTGAATAAAGTGGTTATTTGGTGAGAAGGGTCCTGTGCTTCAACGGTTACTCTTTCCAAGTCAAAAGCAAATCCTTGGTTTAAGTAACTTCAGATGTAAAAAGGGTAATAGTCTGCTAAAGATGTTGTCTAGGTCTTCAATCGGCAGTCCTAATCTACGGAGGCATAGCGGATTGTGAAGCTTCTAAGTAAGGTTATCACACAAATGCGTGGTGTTCTGTGTAGGGAAGACAGATTTTCCAAGAAGGGCCTAGAAGGCTACCCCTCCGCCCCATTCTAGGAGATGATTTAACCAACAAGTTTTAGAGATGGGGATAAAGTCCGCCCCATTCTAGGAGATGATTTAACCAACAAGTTTTAGAGATGGGGATAAACAACCATCCCCCCATTACTTTTCAGCCCTTTAAAATTTATTAATAATTAATTAAATTTAATCTTAAAAACTTTCATTTTGTTGGACAACGAAGGTTGTTGATGTCACCTCGCAACACCATGTGTCTTGCACTCTTGCTCTTAATCCACATAATAATTAAAAATAAAAAAATCATGGCACAATAATCTTAAAAGTCAAGTAAGGTGGTGTTAATAGATGAGAACATTCAAATAACGTTAGTTATAACATTAAATAAATAAAGCTTAATTTCCTTATGTTACGTAATTCAATTACATGATATTCTAAAGTTACGTCAATTAAACATGTTCTATTATTTATTTCAATACTTAAAGATAACAATTTTCTATACGCAACATATATATATATATATATATATATATATATAAACAATTTGTACCATGAATGTTGTATTATTCTAAATACCGCTGCCTCATACGCACATAACACTTAATTATTCAATTACTACAAGTATTATATTGTTGGTTGATGCAAAATCCATTAGTACTTTTTCCTTTAAATCCATTAACCTTCCTCTAATAAGTTATAGTTTATTTGTGAGAGAGTGACCATCAGCGTTCAGCATTACCACTTGGGCACAATGGTAATTAAAAATTAATAAAAGTAACAGCTGTAAAACAGTCAGGGTTGAGTTAAAGAGTAATTTGACTAAAATCGTACCATTCAATTCAAAGATGCATAATCGAGGCGAAATGTACGGCCTGATGAACAAAGTGCATATCAAGGATAATTGTTTTAACTTGTCACCCACTTCCATCAAAACTATATAATATAATATATAAAATTTGTTTAAACATAGAAGGAAGCATAGAATATTAGATTAATGGAGTAAATTAATTAGAAAATTGGTTAGCAAGTTGTGAAAGCATGTTACGAAATATTGGGGTTTGTAGCCCCATTTGACTAGTAATCAAACAAAGAGAAGATGGATACATAAGATGCATATATATATATATATATAGTAATAGATCCTAGAATTTGTAACAACAATGTCGGCCATTAAAGATATGAAGAAACAACACCTTCCTCAATTCCGTAATTACAAAAACAAAATTGTAACCCAAAAAGGTTGATTTAATTTGTACTGGTACTGGGATATGGGGGCATGTTTTAGGGACCAACCGGCAAGGACTTGTTATGTATGGGGCGTCGTCTTTTTACATGAGAATAATCCATCGTAAAATATTGTGACGTGTCTGTCCCCTCCACCCATTCTTGCCTTGTCCCTTTGCCTCCATGCATCTCTCCCTTTTCTTTATTGTATGTCTTCTTCCCTACACAAATCACATTCACTATCAATTATATACTATAGTTTAATGTTCATGCTTCTTCTTCTTTTATAAATATATACACTTTATGTTTTAAATTAACAAGGTTTGATCAATACCTTTTTAAATGTTTCAAAGTAAAGTGTTAAACTGAACTATATGCAGAAGTTATTCGTCAAGTGTTTATATAAAGAAAGAGGCAGTGTTTTTTTTTTTTTTTTGACAGAAAAAGGAAAGAAAGAAAAAGAAGGAGGAGAGTGATATATAGCCGGGAAAAGGAAAAAAGAAAATTAAAGTGCTCTGGACATATTATTCATGGTGCTCGAGCTGGCAACAACTACTGTTTGTTGCTGTGCGCTGTTCTTAAGCTAGTAAAAGCATGAGTTCATCAGTACTAATTAACATATCTTAAGAATAAAAACCCTTCCGTTGAATGGCTGTGCTATGGTAATTAAGGAGTAGTTTAATAGATGATTACCAGCTTGAACAGGCTCACTCTCCTGGTTGTTGCGTGACATTGTTTCTGGACCTCCATGTTGTTTAACCTATTTTTCGAAACATGAAGGGGAAATGGTAAGTTGTAGAAAGATATATATATATATTACTCGAGATTATATATGTGTCAAACAAAAACAAGATTAGTTAATTCGTCGGTTCTTTAAGAACAGATTCTTACTGTTACTTCAGCAGTGACTCTAAGCTTTCTTGGCAGAGTCGGCAGATCAGAAAGTTGTATTTCAATGGCTGCTCATAGTACAGATTATAGTCATAATAAGCTCATGATTCATAGGAAAGAAATTAACAAGTGCATGCATGCTTACCTTTTTCATGCGAAGATTGCACTTGAATGTGAAGAGAAGAAGCACAGGGCGCTTGAAATATTAAGGAGAGACTAATAATGAAAAACAAAGTAATCACTATAAGCTCCATAGTTACAGTCCCTGGAGATAATATTGCATGTAATAAAGATGATGAATGATCTGAAGAGGGTGTGGGATGGAGTTTTATATTAACCAAGGAAGCCCCTAGAGAGAGAGAGAGAGAGAGAGAGAGAAACACAAAGCACAAAATGAACAGTTCCAAAACAAGTACATAGAAATCTTATACTTATACTTGCTTTTGAGGAGATAACTTCACACCATTTGAGTTGCTTTTGTCACGTACTGTTGTAGGCCCTCTTCTTTTTTCTTATTATTTAAAAAATAATGTCTACAAAACATTGCACATATCACCATCAACCCCAAAATGCTATTAACTTTTTAAGATTCAACAACAACTCAATCTTTCTTTCTTATGGAGAAAATAAATTATTTATGTGTTGCACTAGATTTCAAATAAATTCTTGGCTACAAACAAGCAACCCAAGCCACCTCATTTTTCACTTGAAAAATATTCAATTAGTTTTGTACTATTCTCTATGATAGAGTCCAAAAGGGTTCTTTCATTCTACCATATTATCATATCATTTGTCGGTCGTTTAGATATTCAACCCAAAAAAAAAAACTAACTTATTAGATGAAGTGATAATTTCTTCTTATATATATAAACTCTAATACCTTCTCTTAATCATATTCAACATGGGATTCTTGAGACTCAATATATTAATGTGTTCAAGCTACTTCATACTTCAATTAAATTCCGTTTTCAAAGGCATATGAGAAGAGGGCAATTGATATATAATAATTGCATTTTTTTTAAGCTGGTATCCTTCGGCTGAATGTTCCCTTACCGAACAGTTCTTCTTAAGTTCAAACTTCTTCTTTTGAATTGACGTAATACATATAGATTTATTTGTTTTGGGAGAACCCTGAATTAATGTTTCAATAAAGTTACATTAAAGATATTGCTCAAGCAGATTGTAATACATAAATCCCGGGGAATAATAGTGAAGTTAGGCAGAACTTTACTGCTGCTCAAGCTCAAGTCTCCACCCAAAATTTATTTTCTTCATCTTCCCATGCTTAAATGCATGTCTTCTCTGACTCAAATTTATGTGCAATAAAGACGAAGCGTACGTCCCATTCCGTGCGCCCATATTTAAGTTTGCAGGATCCATCAAGAATTTTGGTAAGATTGAATCAGAACTACAAATGGTGGGTTGCTCTATATATCCTTCAATGGACTACACCAGACCCATCATCACTCCGCCACTTGAAAAAGAAATTGAACATATGAAAATTATGAGCTTAATTGTTTTCATGACCCTTTCAGGATCTCTTTTGGGGGTCTCAAGTAATTTTCTTTCTTTTCATCTCTTTCTAAATCCTATTTTTAATTTACGAGTTTTTATTATTCTTCTTCTGTTAAACTCTGATTCTCGTCTTGTTACAAAGAAGAGTAATATTATACTTATAACTGAGTTTTATAACTGAATCATACAAACAAACAAAAAACAAATAACAGAGTAGTTATTTTACATAAATTTTGTATAATTTTTATCTACTTGTATGACTAGTTGTATAACTCGGTTATTAACAAAACATTATTAAAGAAAGAATATTCTGATTTGTTCATCTTGAAAGTAAAGTATAGACTTTGCTGGTTATATTAGCATTAGCTATTTCAATATGAATAATACTACACATACAACATTCTCATTTAATATTACATGACAAAAGATGATTGGATAAAAGTTTAATTTTAATTTAAAATCAATCAATTATATTTTACCATATAATGTTGTATAAAAAATATGTACATATAATACAGTACATATAATTAAGGAGTTGAATCATTTTAATTTCTCGGGCCCATATAAATGTTTCCTTTTGCAGCTATAAGGCTGCAGCTCCCCTTTATTCCTCCTTATTTGGGACTTTCATCTTTATCTTTCTTTTGTTATATGACAGCATTTGTCGCACAGACTATTTGCTCATTCGTATCAGCATGTAGTATAGATCTGTTATCAGATCTTTATTCAAATTCAAATATTTCCTTGTATATAGCAGAGCTGTTGAGTCTTCCTTAAGACTAGGACTTCCTCTTGTATTTAGGAGTGATCTCATTATTCCTCTGTGTATATGTACTCTATTTTGATTAACGAAAATGGCAGCAAATCATAATTGATTCTCTGCTCTACATGGTATCAGAGCACATATCGATTCCTACCCATTCATTTTTTTTCAACCTTTCTCTTCTTTCCTTTCTTGTTTCACTCTTACTCTCTTGCTGTCCCACACCAGAATGACAACAACAACACCAAATTCCACCAACACTACCTCTGCCGCTAGTCCTCCAAACATTGAGGTTCCTCTTATCACCCTCAACATATCAGCTCAAACTCACCTCTATAATTACCTATCCTGGAAGCTGCAATTTGAAACTTTATTCATTGGATATGACCTCATTGGGTATATCAATGGATCCACACCATGTCCTCCCACCACCATCACAGCAAACAACACTGACACAACCAATCCTTCTCACAAACTCTGGATTTGTCAAGATCAACTGCTGCTAAATGCCTTAATTTGCTCTCTTTCTCCTACCATCATTCCCTTCATTGCCCGAGCCAAGACTGCCAAAGAAGCATGGACCATCCTTGCCAACACGTATGCCAAACCCTCACGTGGTCGCATCAAACAAGTCAAAAACCAACTTAAGAATCTAACAAAGGCAGTCAGAATATAACCAAGTATCTGCACTCTGTCAAAGCTTGTGCTGATGAACTGGCTATCCTAGGTGCACCACTGGATCCTGAAGACCTCATCGACAAGATCCTGGATGGCCTAGGCGACGACTACAAGGAACTGGTCTGTGCAGTACAAGCTCGTGACACCTCCATCTCATTTGATGAGCTCCACGAGAAGCTACTCTCCTTTGCAGCCTCTGCATCAGCAATCACAAGTTCAGAAACATCACTTCCAATTACTGCCAATCCAACAATAAAAACAAACCAACAATGGCGCCCAAACAAATCTAATAATTGGCATACCCTCTCTCCCTCACAGGCACCTGCTGGCAACCAGACTTGGCGTCCACCAGCAACCAATAATGGCCGTCCTCTCATGAACTCAGATCACCGCTTCCAAAATCGCAGCAACCGTCCTCCATCCAGACCTTATCAAGGCTTCTGTCAGATCTGTGGAGTCCAAGGACATACAGCCAAGAGATGTCCCTCCTTTTAAGTGCTTCCCTTTCAATCCTCCACCATTGCGCCCTCATCATCCAACAACTCAACCGCTCATTGGCAGCCACGAGTTAACTTTGTTGCCAACAGCACATCACCAAGTTCAACCTAGTTACTAGACAGTGGCGCCTCTCATCATGTCACAGTAGATCTAAACAATCTGTCCCTTCACTCACCTTACAACGGATTTGATGATGTTATGATCGGAGATGGTACAAGTCTCTCCATCACACACACAGGCTCTACCACTCTTTCATCTCCACACTCAACTTTTACATTATCTGACGTTCTTTGTCTACCAACCATGAAAAAAAACTTAATTTCCATTTCTCAGTTTTGCATCACTAACAATGCGTCATGTAAACCCCGCGTTATTATTCCGATGCCCTAAGCTATGAAATTTACCTTTTCAAGTAATTTTTCTTTTTTGAATGGAAGGGTAAAATGGTCAATTTACATGTATTTCGAGATGTGGCCATTATAAAGTGTAAAGGGTGATGTCATTGAAGAGAAATGAGGGTAGAATGGTCATAAAGTTGACTAATAAGGTTAAATGGCATAAACGGTAACCAAGGGTATAATGGTATTTTCATACAAAACCATATGATTAAGTGTCCATAAAAGTGCACCAAGGGTAAATTAGTCATTCACCTAATGGGATTGCTTAATGGTTAAGTGTTTTAAAGAAGTCAAATGGCATTAAATGAGTGCTTATCTTTATGTTGTGGTGGAAATGACCAAAATGCCCTTATATGAAAAATTTATGCCAAATGACCCTTATACCTAACTTTTATTGACCAATCACATTAGAGCAACAATTGAATAAATATTTACAAGGTTTAAAGAGAGAGTAGTCGGCCTTGTACACCCCAAACATATCATCTTCTTCTTCATCTCTCAAATCCACCATAAAAGCCACTAATCCAAGCTTTTATTCTCAAATTTTCTTAGGATTTCAAGTTGATTTTCAAAGGAGATCACCATCCATCCTTAAAGAACTTCAATTTCAGGGTTAAAGAAAGGTGAAACTTTGGAGCCAAGGAGGAGTACCTTTGTGCTTTGAATACTAAGGTAAGGATTAAGGCATGAAGCTGGGAGAGGATTCTGAGGAACGCTATGAGCATGAAGGGATGTTTTAATAATGACTATTGGATAGTTTTGCTAATATGTAGTGTAGTAATTATGTTCATATTTCATAATGTAGTAAATATGTCCATGTTCTATAATGGAGTAAATATGTTGTATTAATAAAGGAAATCAAATTACTAGTAAATTTTGTAAAAGTATATATGTTCTAGTAAGTATTACTATGGATTTCATAATTTACTCCAAGAAAGGAAACTATATTTCTTTTTTTGACTTATACAATGAACTTATTATAGTTTGGAAATTGAATTAATAAATAAATATAAATAAATATGTTTATAAACTACAAATTTATTCTTTAAATAGGATTTTAAAATAAACTTCTTTTCTAGGCGTGCGTTTTCTAGGTTCTCAATGGCCAAGGGATACTTAGGAAATACCCGGCTAGGGAGGGGTTTTACACGTCAGTTGAATTCTTACCATCTTCATCTTTTGTGAAGGATCTTCGCTCGGGGGCAATTATATTCCAGGGCAGTACTAACGATGGAGTGTATGAATGGATAGCTCCCAAAAACCCGATTCTAGCATTCTCTACAGCCAAAACAACATCTACCAACTGGTATAATCGTTTAGGACATCCAGCTCTTCCAATATTATAGCATATTCTCTCTAATAATTGTTTAGAATCATCTTCCTCTATGCCAAAAGATTTCTCATGTAATGCATGCCTCTGCAATAAAAGTCATAAATTACCTTTTTCTACTTCCTCCCTTGTGTCTACACACCCTCTTCAAATTATCTTTTCTGATGTTTGGACTTCTCCCATTATTACTTCAAATGGCTTTAAATATTATTTCATATTCGTCAATCACTTTACTAAATACATCTGGTTTTATCCCCTCAAATGAAAATCAGATGTTCAGGAAGTATTTAAACGCTATAAAACCATTGTTGAAAATTACTTCCACCACAAAATCATCACTTTATATTCTGACAATGGGGGAGAATATCTAGGCCTCAAAGATTACCTTTCTACCGTTGGTATAACCCATCTAACCACTCCACCTCATACACCCGAACACAATGGCTACTCTGAAAGAAGACATCGTCACATTGTCGAAATTAGCCTCACCTTACTCTCCCATGCCTCCTTACCTCTCACCTTTTGTCCTCATGCATTCAGTACTGCAGTCTACTTAATTAATAGAATGTCTACCACTACTCTCAACCTCTCCACTCCCTTTGAATTAATTTTCAAAACCACATCAAACTATTCTAAACTCAAAATTTTCGGATGCTTATGTTATCCATGGCTTCGTCCTTATTCACCCCACAAACTAGCCCCTAAGTCCACACCCTGTGTCTTTCTTGGTTACTCTTTGTCTCAAAGTGCATATCTCTGTTTTGACCCAACCACCTCTAAAACATGTCTCTCGTCATGTCCAATTTGTCGAATCTATATTTCCTTACACCACACTCAACATTCAGCAACCTCGTCCTACCTCCACTACAGCTACTGATTGGATTCCACCAGTTATCACAATTCCCATTCCTCCTCCAGCACAAACGCATTCTCACGCTCCAGAAGTACATGCTATGGAATTGGCCCCTGCTGCAGATCGCACTCCAAACACATCTCCAACACCCCATCAACCAGAACCTTCACTGCAACCAGAACCTGCCTCACAACATGTCTCTACACCAGCTCCTCGCCATTCCATGACTCCCCGAGCCAAAAACCATATCACCAAACCTATCCAAAAACTAAATCTCCACACACACCTAGCCTCTTCACCCAGTTCAGAACCCATATCTATTACTCAGGCCCTCAAAGACACAAACTGACGCAAAGCTATGTCCGAAGAGTATGATGCCCTTGTTCACAATGGGACTTGGGAACTTGTTTCTCCAACTGGTATCACAAACCTTGTAGGTTGTAAGTGGATATTTCGCATTAAAAGAAACTCTAACAGCTCTATTGACAGGTTTAAAGCTAGCCTTGTAGCCAAAGGCTTTCATCAAAGACCAGGTGTGGACTATCTTGAAACCTTCAATCCTGTAATCAAGCCAACTACTGTGAGACTTGTGCTCAGTATTGCCGTAAGCAATGGTTGGTCTCTTCGCCAATTGGATGTAAACAATGCCTTCCTCCAAGGTAATCTGTCAAAAACGGTATATATGGCACAACCTCCTGGCTTCATTAACGCTGATAAACCCACCCATGTATGCAAGCTTCACAAAGCCATTTATGGTCTCTAACAGGCTCCTTGGGCCTGGTATCATGAATTGCGATAACTCCTTATAGATTTTGGGTTCAAGAACTCTCACTCTAACACTTCTCTGTTTATTCTAAACACTGGAACCAGCCTACTCTATCTGCTGGTATACGTTGACGACATTATAATCACTGGGAATAGTGACGATCTTGTATCCTAAGTTGTTGAGTGTCTAGCTCAGCGTTTTTCTCTCAAAGATCTGGGCACTATATCGTATTTTCTTGGTGTAGAAGTTGTTCCTCATCGCCATGGACTCCTACTCTCACAAAGGCAATATATAAAGGATCTGCTCACTAGAACTAATATGCAAGCTGCCAAACCAGTTCATACACCTTTACCAACCAACTCGTCATCTCTCACGCTGGCATCAGGATCTTTCCTCTCTGATCCATCTGAATATTGAACTGTTGTGGGTAGCCTCCAATATTTGTCTCTCACCCGACCTGAAATTTCGTTTGCAGTCAACAAAATGTCTCAGTTTATGCATCAGCCTATAGATGAACGTTGGAACCTTGTTAAACGCATTTTACGCCATCTCAGTGGCACTTTGGATGATGGACTCCTCCTACATCGAAATTCACCTCAGTCACTTCATGCCTTCTCTGACTCACTTCATGCATTTTCAGATTCTGACTGGGCAGGTAACAAAGACGATTACTCTTCTACTGGTGCATATCTTGTTTATCTTGGACGCAATCTCATTTCATGGAGCTCTAAAAAGCAAAAAACGGTTGCTCGCTCTTCCACTGAGGCTGAATATCGCTCAGTTGCTGCCACTGCTGCCGAACTATGCTGGGTTCGTTCTTTACTCTCTAAATTGTGTATCAATTTGATAAAACCCCCAGTAGTCTACTGTGATAATGTTGGTGCAACACAACTAAGCTCCAACCCAGTCTTTCATTCCCGTATGAAGCATACAGCTATTGATTACCATTTTCTTCGTGATCAAGTTCAATCTGGTGCTCTTCGTGTGGCACATGTGTCCTCTGCCGACCAGCTTGCTGATCTTCCTACAAAGCCCCTACCTCGAACCCAATTTAAGAATTTAAGAGACAATATTGGCCTCTCTACACGTGGCCCATCTTGAGGGGGCATATCAGCATGTAGCATATATCTATTATCAATCTTTATTCAAATTCAAATATTTCCTTGTATATAGCAGAGCTGTTGAGTCTTCCTTAAGACTAGGACTTCCTGTTGTATTTAGGAGTGATCTCGTTATTCCTCTGTGTATATGTACTCTATTTTGATTAATGAAAATGGCAGCAAATCATAATTGATTCTCTGCTCTACAATTCGTTCAAATTTTGAATGAGCTGCTACTTTTACAGAAAAAATTGGCTCTCGCTCTCACACTACCACAAAATTGCGTTAATAACAAGAGAAAATATTGATATAAATGCATTGACTTCTGAAGTATAAGACATTTCTCCATAACAACAAAGTTGAGACCATAAACCTACTGTACGTAACTCCCCGTTTGTAAGATCAGAGAAAAGAGCAAGATGTATACCTATATTACTTGATAAATCATATTATAACATATAGAAGAGGGTAAGAATAAAACTAAGAAAAAAAAAATGAAATTTTATCATGTATATACTTTCTAACTTCAATCTATTGATAGAAAAATAGAGCATTTAGAATCTACAGCAAAGAAGGCCCTGTCTCCAACATTTATGTTTCCGGAAATGTCTCTGATCAGCTTTTGCCATCCTTACTGGACTGCTATTCCACTCAGACTGTAGTCTGTTAATGTAATAAACAAATATGAAATTGTTAGTTCTGGATTAAATCTATAAGGACAGATGAACAATGAAGGAAGAAAAAAAATGTTTGAAGGATGCTTACATAGGAAAGGCAAAAGAACGGGTGCTTGTTGTGCTGCTATCAGATCTAAGAGAGAGGCTTCCAGAATATGCTATTGGCCCTGAATAAGTTATTAGACCTGATATAGGACCTGTTGCAGAGAAACTTGACTCCCCAATACCATTGCGAACCTGGCTTGAAACTGACAGCCTTGGAGCATCTTCAAGTTTTGAGGTGTCTGGAGTCTCAATTTGTTTAGAATTACCATTATGAGGACATTCCTCTTTACCTCTTGCTGTGGAAGCAGAAGCATCAAAGTCAAAAGTTATGCTTCCAGTCTCCACCTTGCTATTATATAATAACTTTTCATCCATGCTGATTTTTGTTGATTCTTCAGACCCAGAAACCAGATCATGGCTTGCCAAGGTTGCTTCATTGTTCTTTTCTTCGTCTCCAGAAACAAGAGCAGAATTTTCCAAGATTTCTTCCTCACCGCCATTGTTTGATTCTTCAGCTGCCTAAACCAAATCAGAGGTCACCAACTCTCCTTCCTCAGTGCCACCGTTTGATTCGTTGGCTGAAGAAACCAAGGCAGCATTTGCCAAGACTGCATCTCCAGAAACCAGATCAGGGCTTGCCAAGGTCGCCTCTTTACTGCCATTATGATTTCCTTCACTTGCAGAAACTGTTGTGCAGTTCGCCAAGATTGCTTCCTCACTGCCATTGTTTGAATCTTCCACCTCAGAAACCAAATCAGAGCTCACCATGATCTCTTCCTTGGTGCCACTATTTGATTCTTCGGCTAGAGAAACAAAAGCATCACTTGCCAAGACTTTTTTTCCATCACAGCCCTGCACTCAAATCATTAAAATCTTTATCACATACTCTCCTCTCTCTTTCTCTCTTTACATCATAAGAAGAAAAAGTTAATCTGTTGGGGTAATCTATATGCAACTATTTTGAAACTGTGCACCTGATATAATAATACTATCATCTAGTAGTTACATAGCAATATATTGAACCCAAATTCCATTGATGAGGAAACTATTTCACTGTCAGTATCTCAACCAACAAAGAAATATGGCAATTTATTATTAAGTACTCCTAAAGAAGATTTGAGCCTATATACAGGAGGAATCCAAAATCTTATTACAGTAACTATTGTTATACTGCAAAGTAATTTTAATCATGAAGATGAGTACCTGCTGAGTCTCTGTTTCATCATTACTGGAAGACTTGGAGTATGAGTTCTCTGTTGTCAAACCTTGCATCGACAGCAAATCTCCAAGTGAGAACTTTTTTGAGACATCATCTGCAGTTTTGTCTGTTTCATCATCTTTCACTTCATCCGTCAACACTAAATCCTTAGAATCACATAGACCAACTGTATCTTTGTCAGAATCATGTGTGGGTGGAAAATCATATTGATTGACAGTATCCGTATTAGAATCATTTTCTGCCGAAGATTTCAACACATCTACGAGAGGCATAACAGTATTGATTTTTTCTTCCATCAGTTCATCATTTCTATTCTTCTCAGGTGGAAGGAAGGAACAGACACCCTTCTCTTCTGTATCACTCTCAAACAGGATCCTGTCCTGGGAAGGTACCCCCTCATCAATGCAAATATCCTTGACATGGTATGTACTCTCTTTGTAACAAACTATCAACTCAGGTAGTTCACATTCCATAACACTTTTGTCCATATAAAAAACTGAGTCCTCAAATGATTCTGTTTCTTGGCAAGAATGAGAATGTTGTGCTGCCAGATCTCTGAAATCCTTTTCATTGTCATTTGCTATATCATTCAAATTCACAGAACGATCAAGTTTTGTCGCAGTCCAACCATCTGCATCATTTTTCATATATGATAATTTATCTGCGTCCCCCTCACTGGGTTTTGAAGCACACAAGACTCCGTTCTGATATTCCTTTACAATACTATTTCCTGACTTCAGCCTAGTGGACTCCAAAGCATTGTCTTGATAATCAAAAGGTTTGGAATCAGACTTGCGGTCTAGAGTTGAATGGGCAAATACTTGTTCATTATCTGAAACTACGAGAAAATATTTTATTATGGTGAATTCTAAAACAGGAAATTAGAGTAACGAAAAGAAGTGTTAGTTGAGTAACAATTAATAGAAAGTAAGATAAACAAAAAAAAATTGCACCACTTGGTTGATCAAAATCTAAATTTGCCAGCTAAGTTATGGGCCTGAATAATATAAACAGTGCAATAATAGGCTCAAGCAAGATCCCCAACTTCCATAAACCAACTTCTCAAGAAAATAATTTAAGCATTTTAAGGTCATCAAGAATTTTGATTGCCAACCAAAAGGCAGAAACGGTTATGATTATACCAAATTTAACTCCCAGAACAAAACAGACAGCATACAGATGCTAATTCTAAGGTAAAGATGATAAAGAATATGTAAAAACAGAGTTGGGAATGAAAAAAAGAAATCCAAAAGAAGACTATATTATTACCAAATTTCATGGTTCACATGGATTGGGAAAGATGAGGAAGTTCTTCACAGCTACTATGAGTGATATCTTCAAGAATTCAGAATTCAGGGAGTGCAAGCTAATTCTGCCAACCAAAAACACATATAAAAACTATATTAAAATAAGCAGTCTAAAATTACCCCTCTTTAAATATACTTTGTAAGAGACCAAATGAGTATTAAGGTGTTGAAGTTTAGGGATGAAATCAGCAGAGTTCACTTCTAGAAAGCAAACCATAAGCAAATAACAAACATAATGACAACAGAATATAGATACACCATAAACAGTCTAGCATAACAGTTTACATCCAAAAACAACAAAATTCACAAGAAGATAATCTCAGATACACGAAAAAGCACTTCCCAAGGGAATAATTTATTAATTTTATTAATCAAAATTCTGAACAACTAGAAACATAACAAGCTTATTTATAATTGGTTTTCCCGTAGAACAAACTAAATTAAGACATCATAATTAAACAACAAAAACAAAATAAAACTTCTTATTACGAAGTCCTTATTAATTTGACAAAGAAGTCCTGGATCTGATTAGAAATTTTTTTTTCATAACCAAACGTTGTAGCAAATTTGAATCACAGAGAATTTCACCGTCACTAGTTGCTCATACTTTTAGAACAATACAGGGTTTTGACTTTTGAAAGGCTTTATCAGATACAGAAGAATGTTTGCTCAGGTCCAAAAAAAGAAGTAACCTCATATCAGTAAGCATTTAACAGAATCAACAGTATTACTGCTCACTCCTAAACGTAAAAAAGAGCAAACAAAGATGTAAGTTTTTTTTTTTTTTTTTTGTTCGTGTGTTAAAAAAAAAAAGAAGGTTTGGTATTGATAGAAACAAGTATACAAATTTAAAGGTATAAATGACTGTAGTAATATAGATTCCTAGTATAAACAAATTCAACAAGTCACATAGAAAATGTTAATGAAAAATGCAACTAGAGAACATACTGTACATAATAACTGTATATACTATTCTTAACAATTAAAGCTAAAACTGAGTTATTGAGGAAAACCACATCAACCAGAAGTTTAGAATAATCTCCAACAAATAGGCCAAATTAAGCTATTTAAACAGTCATGTCTCTTTAATTTTTGACAAGTAAAAAGATATTAGGAATAAATAGTTAAAAAAGGACCAGTATCAACTCAACAGCTTTAACACATAACAAATCATGAAAAGCGTGCTCAATATCAGAAGTCAAAAGCCAAAATAGAATAAAATGAAAAGCAGAGCTGAAACAGTAATTAATCCTGTCCCATGAATGTATATAAGTAGCTACATATATTATATTGTTCGGGCTAATGTTTGTTGAGAAAAACCAATAGCTATCCAATTACACGCACTAAAGAACATTATCGAGAAAAATAAGTACATAAGATCTCTCCCAAATCCAATATATGTTAAGCATGTGGAATCTTAAACATTTCCTATATAACAAAAGAACAAGAAAAGTTTAACTTTTCCTAAAGCTTACATAACTTTCACAGCTAAATACATACCTAAATTAAAAATATTATTCAGCAACCCATATGGCCCTCCTTTAAAACAATAACACCGTTTATTTTGTTCTCTAGCTCTAGTCAGATCTAACCCATTAATAAAAACTAAAATTCTAGAAGAAATCAGTGAAATCCCAGATGGTTTTACCTATCCCATGAACAAACATTGGAATGCCAAAATAGAAATGCCAGAGATCTGCATCAAATCCAAACCAAAAAAAAAAAAAACCTTGCTATCAGCTAAACAAGAGTATCTTCTTGTTCCTCTCGATTCGATTCACAAATCACAACCTACAATCCAGTTCCATATCACTGGAAAAAGATAAAACATAAGGCCAATAATTTGCAGACGTCTCAAAATAAAATTAAAAAAAAAAAAAAAAAAAAAGCATACCCAACTCAGCAGATCAAGCTATTAGAGAAAAATAGAACAGAGTGAGATCCACATATAAGTTGAAGAAAACTTTAAACTGAAGGGATGATATTATCGTTACTTACATATAAAGATATGAAGCTTTCAAAATGAAATCTGAATCCTAAGCTTAAATAAAGAGGTTGCTGTTTGTGGAAAGCAAATAGTAAATGGAGAAAAGGAAGGACAATGAATAGAAAGAGAGAGAGAGAGAGACAGTAAATAGTAAGTGAGTTGTAATCATCAAAAACCTAATATTAAAGGTCAACTGCAATTAATTCTTATTGAGTTCTTTGCAGTATCTGTGAACCCCCACCTATTTATTAGGCCGAAGTTTTGGCATTAATTATCACCCTCCACCTCAACACAACAATCCAATAAATATTGAAATCCAATAAACAACAATCAATATTTATTTTCCTTACCTGTTCCTTCACTTTCCTTGCTTCCCTCACCAGATTTTCCCGCTAACCAAACACCAAAACGTTAACAAAATCTCTCTCGTTTGTTTGAAGTTTTCGACACTTTGCCACCTGAAACTCACATTCAAACTGTTTTTTGTTGTGTTGTGTTTTGTCCCTCGAAGATGACAAAGAGTGAAAATTTTACAGCACAACCTCAAAAAAGTCAACTTGTGTGTCTTGTAATCGGGTGGCTGGGGGCGGGGACTTTGTTTTTGTTTTTGTTTTTGTTTTTGTTTTTCTCTAAATGTATGCGATGAGGGTCTGTGAGAATATGATGGTGTGTCAGTTCGTTGAGATCTTGAGCTGGCTCTCAGTAATCTGTAGTCTTATTATTATATTACAGATAACTTTTTTTCTTCTTTTATTTCATATTTTCTTTGTCAGCTTTACTTCTTTTTCCATTGGCGATTGGGACCCATTCCCAGTTCATCCTCTCCACTCATTTGAGTCAATGGCATGGGTTTCGCCGTTTGATTTTTTTAATAATTGATTTGATGATTTACTGTACCGGTACTGTTTTCTTCAAGTGGAAAACGGTGGTTTTGGGATCAGCACCGTCGTGTCATGATGTATTACACGTGTAGTTGAAGCTAATATGGGTTGTAGGTCCATGATGAGAGATGAGGATAAAGTAGGGGAAGTGAACACGTGTGGTATGATTAGCTACTACAATTTGGAGGATTTTTATTGTCATAAGGAGTATTGGGCCCGGCAATAGAATAAAGGGAGAAAGAAACAAATGCTTTTATCCTTTTATTTTATTTTCCATGTTTTATGTATTTTTCTTTAAATTAAAAAGGAAGAAATTTGGTTAAATATTTAATAATTTAAAACGCATTTATACATGTAGGAGTTGAACATTTAAACATAAAAAGAGATTTAATTAATGAATTTAACATTTTATGATTGAGGAATTTTATTTTTAATAAACTGATCCAAACTAATTAATTTTGGTGGGAAGAATAATTTTACAATAAAGTTTTTAAGCAATTGAATGTGTGATGCATGACATGAACATCAATTATAAACATTAAAGTTAGTAGATATGGTAGGTAGGCTTCCATCATTTGCTGAGTTCTAACTAATTTCCTCTAATATTTTTCATTTTAGGAAATTAAATACCTTTCTCTTTAACGTACTAAGTAAAACTTAAATTTATTTTTAAATTAAATAATAATCCCCTTTTCATGTATATCGTAATCATAATTTACTCTAATGTAAAATGCATATGGGTAGGAGGAGAGAGTTTGACCTAATCGATTAGTTATAATTAACGTTATGATTAAGACAAAAAGGAGACTTCCTCTTGCATGGGGATCCTAAGTGAATTCTCCTGGTTGGACGCTTCAGTAAATAAAATATATATAATTATACATATATATATATCCCTTGTTCTCTTTCCCAATTCCGCATCTTCACATGTCATCTGCCATGTAAGATGTTAACATACATATTAATATTAAGAATTTAAGATGTCTCTTATTATAAAGTTAATCTCAAATTTCATTTAAATATATTTAATTATATTATATGGTCGGTTCAATGTTGAAGAAAATCAAAGTTTTTTACTTAAATTAATTATTATTAGGTTCAATGGGGTAAAGTGCCGCCACCAGTGTTTTATTACTAACAACGAAGCCTCTAGAGGAACAATAATGATAATATAATGTACTGGAAACATGTTTAATTCAATTTCATTAATAATATGTTGTGACAAATCATTTATGATTAAGTGATTGGAGAGGTAATTAATATGTACTGTACGTGACTCGTTTATTATAAAGAGTTTGAATAGAATCTTCCCTAGGGCCATAATTAACAACTTTCCCTACCTACAATTGGATTAAATATAAGTAGCTTAAATTGAAATTCAAACATTAATCTATCAATTTTGTGTTTAAATTATGAAATATCCTCACTACCTAAGAGAGAAATAGTTGTGCATTAAGTATTCAAAATTCAAATATTTTTATTTACTATACATTTTTGCGGAAATAGTTAGGAGAAATGACTCTTAACATACAAAAAATATTATACATCTTTACAGGGTGTGAATTACCTATTATGAGGTGGTATAAAATTCTATACACAATCCATTTAAAATGTGAAAATAAATGTATTGTGAAATTTAAAATACAGAAAGCGCATTCAACACTCAGAAAATAATATAAAGACAAAAAGAATATAATCCATTTAGTAGGACAGTGCTTATCTAATAACCTTAAGGGGTTGATTTGACGATCAAAGAGATTTGTTTCATTTTTTGAGTTATTGGGTTCAAACATTGGGCTACCTATCACAAAAATATTGTAGTTTATCCAGTCCTTTAGGTTTATAGGGTATTCAATGAACCTCGAAAATTAATTAAGATATTCGTAAATTAACCCGAATAAAAAAAAAAAAAAAAATATTCATCTAACAACTAATCATGTACCATTAACAGCATGACATACATATGAAATGATGTCATATTGAATGTAAATCTAATTCTTGCGCAAGAAATTAGTTGAATCATGCGTACTAATGGGAGGCCAAAGGCGATGTACATAATGAGATGAAAAGGACAAAAGCAAAGCAGTTGACAACAGTAATATTACGTTTACCGAGTAAATTATCGATTTTCCCATACCGATGCATTTGCCCAATTCTCAAAATCTCAAATTTTAACTTAATCAGTATGTCAAATCGGTACCTTTATCGGTAACTCAAGCATTATTGAGTTGACAAAAGCCGATTTATAAGATAAAGTTGGTTGTATAGCTTGGAGAATAGGCAAAAAACAGTAAGAGGGGAATAAATTTTAAAAACATTTAGGTCTGATTTCCTGTTCAACATTAATTGACAATTGGACACTCCCCGTTATACGAAGAGGACATGGTCGGCCTATCTTAAGTCAATGCTACAATTCTATGCCTACACTTTTTTTTTTCCTCCAAATTATAAGGTAGTGGATTTGAATCGTCCTCTAGCGCTGGTGGTGGCTTCCAACAGGATTCAAAGTTCACAATGTGTTGTTTGAGAATAAACAGCAGCGCAAGACACACACTGATTTACACGTTAATTTAGCAAGTTGGGATATAATATAGAGAGAGAATTTAAATAGAGAGAGAGAGTATGTTATTAGAAGATTAAAAATGAACTGATCCCATAAATGAGAGAGGAGCCATTTATTTATAGTCGAGAGGTTCAAAGTAATAATCATAATTCTGCAGTCGGGCAGATGTGGTATAATTCTTAACCTGCTTCCCATTGGCTGACTGCACAGAAGATATCCTTAAATCGTCTAAAACTTGGGCAGGTGGACAATTCCTAGCACTCACAAGCCAAGTTTTCACCTGTCAGACTGACGACAACCTTATCTCTTTCGTCCTTCTGCGACGTGGTAGCATCTGGACGACACAAAGCCTTCCAGAACTCTGATTGGTCATTGCTGGCGTGAGCTTACGTCAGCCCTGATTTTTTAGGCATAACACCTTTCAAGAGCTTCAAAGCTCAACACCTTCAAATTGTATGTTGACATTTTAACAACGCTACTAAAAAGGTCATGCCAACATTCAATATAAATTTTACCACTTCACTTTGTGCTGTTATTGAAAGTTTACAACAATAAGCTTACATATCTTGTAATACAATAATGTTATCATTAGGTTATTTATACCACGTTTTTGTTTTATGGACATAAGAAACGTTACACAAATTAAAAAAATGGAATAAAGGTGCCGATTATTCCAAGGTAGATTTTATAAATTTTCAAGCATTTTATGCGTTTTTCCCCCCCAGGTGCAACAAAAATAGGATAGGCCCATCGTTTTTGCAATCTGGAAAGAAGGCGCGAGAAAAGTTGAGTTAGGCCGAATCGCTCAAATGCCTTGACCTTGACTAGTATGACATGATTTTAAAGATAACCGTGTAAAACAAGCATTTTATCATGTTTTTATCGACCTTTCCAGATCCACAGATTAGATAGTCATGGAACTGGATTGCAAAACTCTAATACGCAATTCATGACAATGACTTCACGTATTCACACCAGATGTGATAAAAAACAATCATGATATAATTTTGGTATTAGAAAACATATACATCTATATATTTGTTTCTGTCTCATTTGCTTTTGATTTCAATGTCGATACCCCTCTGGCCTCTGAGGAACAACTGATTGATAGTAATCACTAATGGATCCATGTACTATAAATCTATACTGTAATGGAATCTGTTGTGATGGAGTCTGTGGCAAGTTGTCAAACTCCCAAACTTTCTCATTTCAAGAAATGATGAAACTGTCCGCAAGACCGAACATCCATATCAGTTGAAGTCATTTGGCTTCCCAACTTTGATATTCTGCTCACTCAGAAATCCAGTAATGGCATTTTTCTGCCAGCCTTTAAAACTCCTGCAATCAGTAATTTGCTTAAGTCACAGATTATCTAACATGTCCTGGACAAATATGTATCATGGCTGGAAAACAAAGAACAGGACAAACAACGTATAAATGTCCAATAATGAGACCATAATCCCAAATTAAAGAGCACTCTCCCCGTGTATTTTACTTTTCACATCACCCAAATTAAACGGCCACACATAATCAATTGAAGTAACCACACATTTAGATCAAGCATTTGTTTTTGACGTATCTTAAGAGTATGTTTTATCCTGAAATTTTAAAACTGTTACATTAAAAAAAAAAACTAGAATCTACAATAGATTTTAAAAATTCCTAGTTCGCCATTTTCTAAAGCCATTGAAGAGAAACAACCAGAGCATTGAAGAAACATGATTCGAAACCTTACTAGCTCATCTAAGATCTTTCACTACAAACCATCAAGTTAAAATTGCTTACACAATTTTGTTCTTCATTTTCAAATAGAGATGAGAAAAATGACCTTATTATTATACCTGAGACTCTGGTAAAATTCCACAACCCAGACATCTATAGCATCTGCAAAGGTCTTTAATGGCTTAGCAGAAATGGAAGGGGCACCAACTCTTCCAAACATTTGATTTCATTGCCCCCAGCCAAGACTATGAAGAAACAAAATGTGGTTTAAAATGCAAAAAGTGTTAAGAGTTGCGTTAAAAATGTCTAGTTTGTGAACTCACTTGTGGTCAAGATGCGCCAAAATTNCTCAACACCTTCAAATTGTATGTTGACATTTTAACAACGCTACTAAAAAGGTCATGCCAACATTCAATATAAATTTTACCACTTCACTTTGTGCTGTTATTGAAAGTTTACAACAATAAGCTTACATATCTTGTAATACAATAATGTTATCATTAGGTTATTTATACCACGTTTTTGTTTTATGGACATAAGAAACGTTACACAAATTAAAAAAATGGAATAAAGGTGCCGATTATTCCAAGGTAGATTTTATAAATTTTCAAGCATTTTATGCGTTTTTCCCCCCCAGGTGCAACAAAAATAGGATAGGCCCATCGTTTTTGCAATCTGGAAAGAAGGCGCGAGAAAAGTTGAGTTAGGCCGAATCGCTCAAATGCCTTGACCTTGACTAGTATGACATGATTTTAAAGATAACCGTGTAAAACAAGCATTTTATCATGTTTTTATCGACCTTTCCAGATCCACAGATTAGATAGTCATGGAACTGGATTGCAAAACTCTAATACGCAATTCATGACAATGACTTCACGTATTCACACCAGATGTGATAAAAAACAATCATGATATAATTTTGGTATTAGAAAACATATACATCTATATATTTGTTTCTGTCTCATTTGCTTTTGATTTCAATGTCGATACCCCTCTGGCCTCTGAGGAACAACTGATTGATAGTAATCACTAATGGATCCATGTACTATAAATCTATACTGTAATGGAATCTGTTGTGATGGAGTCTGTGGCAAGTTGTCAAACTCCCAAACTTTCTCATTTCAAGAAATGATGAAACTGTCCGCAAGACCGAACATCCATATCAGTTGAAGTCATTTGGCTTCCCAACTTTGATATTCTGCTCACTCAGAAATCCAGTAATGGCATTTTTCTGCCAGCCTTTAAAACTCCTGCAATCAGTAATTTGCTTAAGTCACAGATTATCTAACATGTCCTGGACAAATATGTATCATGGCTGGAAAACAAAGAACAGGACAAACAACGTATAAATGTCCAATAATGAGACCATAATCCCAAATTAAAGAGCACTCTCCCCGTGTATTTTACTTTTCACATCACCCAAATTAAACGGCCACACATAATCAATTGAAGTAACCACACATTTAGATCAAGCATTTGTTTTTGACGTATCTTAAGAGTATGTTTTATCCTGAAATTTTAAAACTGTTACATTAAAAAAAAAAACTAGAATCTACAATAGATTTTAAAAATTCCTAGTTCGCCATTTTCTAAAGCCATTGAAGAGAAACAACCAGAGCATTGAAGAAACATGATTCGAAACCTTACTAGCTCATCTAAGATCTTTCACTACAAACCATCAAGTTAAAATTGCTTACACAATTTTGTTCTTCATTTTCAAATAGAGATGAGAAAAATGACCTTATTATTATACCTGAGACTCTGGTAAAATTCCACAACCCAGACATCTATAGCATCTGCAAAGGTCTTTAATGGCTTAGCAGAAATGGAAGGGGCACCAACTCTTCCAAACATTTGATTTCATTGCCCCCAGCCAAGACTATGAAGAAACAAAATGTGGTTTAAAATGCAAAAAGTGTTAAGAGTTGCGTTAAAAATGTCTAGTTTGTGAACTCACTTGTGGTCAAGATGCGCCAAAATTTCCCCACCAGGAAAAGCTGATTTCGTAGTATCAAAAGCTGCTTTAATGGCCTGTTTCCAAGTTCCACCAATATCTTTTGCAACGGTATCTGCTTTTGACTGGTTTGGATCTTCCATTGGCAAGGAATATCCAGAAAGTAGATGGCCTACCCATACATCATCTTTCCTATTATTACAAACAATGAAATGGTCCATTAAGATGCTGAAGAAAAACTATAAGTCATTTACTCTTTTTTTTTTTTTCTCTTTCTGTTATTTAGGAGGATTGGAGAGCCTTGAAAGTACTATAAAGAAAACTTCAATCTATCATACGTTAACACTTTTTCCACATTCCATTTATTCTGTATATGCATAAACTACCCAAGTTCCCCAGTGCAAGAAGCTGTGACTTTGAAAAGGAAACACAAATGAATAAGTACTTGTCCTACAACAGCCTCCTGAATACATGCACATACTAAGAAAGCTGTTGATAAACCAAAAATAGTTGAGTTCATTAAAAGAAAAAATTCTACAAACACATGCCTGCACATTTTTGTATGGAAGTACATATCTCAATTTAAAATTGGGGAACTGAAACATAGGGAGTGTGAAGTGAAGGGAAAAATATATATTAAGGCCAATTTAGATGTTTTTGCAGAAACAAATTTAACACTCTTAGCCCAATCTTTCATATAACAAACTTATAGTTCATAGGTTATATGTGATACTAACAGGAAGGTTTCAGATATAGCCCTATGTGGAAATGGAAAAATGACATACAACATTAACTTACAGAGCTATGTCCATATGCCGAGGTGCATAATGTCCTCCACCTATCCCAAGAAGAACCTTGTTCTTGCCATTCTCCCTAGGATATCAATATAGAAGAATAGGGTAAGCAAAGCATCATCAAGAAGAAGATGGTTTAATGATTTGATGGAAAATGGCAAGATGTATAATAAATCAAAGAATTTGTCAAAGGGCATACATACAATGAATATTCAAAATGCAAGCATGCGATGATTAAGTTACAGAAACAGTAAACAGAACATGCAACCAGAAGAGAAGTTCACATGATACTTGGAGCACCAGCTCACCATTCACATTAAACAAGTAAGCGAGCACAAGAAAATCAAAAAAGAAACAAGTCTACTTATGCAGAGAGACACAGTTTTGTTGGACAATCAAAATACATGCATTGAAGTGTATAATGATATTACTCAAGGAACTCTTTTATGCCAAAAAAAAAAAAAAAATTATTCAAATGAGGGACAAAAGCTGAGATTGTTGTTCAATAATGGTGTCAGTACCTGCTCCAATTTCCTATAGCTGCACCTTCCCCAAGACCAAGTCCCTCCCAAATTAACTTCAGGCACAAACACAACAAAATATTTAGTGAAAAAAGAATGTGATTTCTAACAACCTGCATATTATACTATACAATAGAGACAGAAAAAATTAATGCTTGAAATAGTAAAGTCGAAAATATGTACTCAACCAGAGCAATGACTTGAGCAGCATCCTGTCTCCTCCAATATTCCTCTGTACTACCTATATCAATCAGTAGAAAATATTAAACATAAGACACAGATTTTCAATTACTCACATATTATGAAGAGCAGGATTCCCTCCATTTTGACACATGCCTGGTTTTGTGGCCAAGCCCAATTGGTTTAGGTAAGCAGCTTGGGACTCTATAAATAGAGATTCCTTTGGTTTTGTGAATCGTCCCAAATAAATGAAAATTTTGCACTTCTCTTTCTCTTGCAATTTCAGTTCTTTTACACTAAATATTTGTTAATTTCACAATACATTATTGGCACGAATAGCTTTGCAAATCTCCTGATTCTATCACGTTTTATTACATTACTTTGATAATCTTACAAGTACGCTATGTGGTTGTTACTAAGTTGCATTCCACCTCAGAAATTAAGATGGTTCCTGCCCTTCTCAAGTATGAAGATGATTATCTTGTCTGGGAAAAATAAGCTATACAACATCTTCTAAAGACATTAAAACATATATAATGTATTTATTTTGTGGGCAACATTAATCAACCTGGAAAGCTCAAATGAAATGTTTATCGTGAAAACTAATATATAGATAAACTAATTGAACATTAGGTTTATGCCATCATATATCACTTGTAATTTACTTCTCTCCATGATTAAACATTCATAAGCATCTTCTCACCAAAAGCAAATTCTGCTGCTCTATGTTTGCGCACTGAGTTTAATTCCAAAAGTTAAACCAAAGCCTCGTTACAATCAAAGAAATAAATCATGTTGCAAGAAATCTGCAATGAGACGAAACTTACCTATTTCAACAAACATAGTCGGCTTATTTGTCACGGGTCCATGATGTGTACCCTCCAATGTAATCTACATCCATGCATAACAACATAAACTACTATTTATTTCAAATTCATAAAAAATAAAAACCAGAGAGAAGCAGATGAAACCTCAAATTCAGGTACTAAATTATGAGACTGAGCAATTTTCTTTAAGAGCCTGAGCCACGGGCCAATTCTTGGATTGGGCGGCGCCGCCCATCCAGGCCTGCCACCCTGTGGCGTCACCTCTCCTTCACGCAAGTGAGGCACTCCTATCAAATAATAACAATAACAATAAATAAAAATCATCACAGTTAATAAATTGCAGAAACGAATGTAAAATTGTACCGATCGGATGAACAGTAAGAGCAGGACGGTTCGAAACGGCGGTGTGTTTGCTGAGAAATATGACATCGTTTACAACTTCACCAGTAGCTTCCTCCCAACGATTGTCTAAATCATCCTCCACTACTATGCCTTTGTCGTGTTGTAAAAGTCTCACTTGTTGATTAGCAAAGCTCTTAAGTTCCTGTATCATAAAAACTGAAATTAAAATGCAAAGAATATGAAGAAATTGATCAGGTGTTGTGAGAGTAATGAGTGACTGACCTGGAAGGAAGGACCAGGGTGCCAGCCGGGCATGGACAAGAGCGCGGTGGCTGGGTTGATGGAGGCCGGATCGATGGTGGTGGCCACAATGAGAGTTACCATTTTCATTTCCTGATTTAATTGTTGTTGGAACGTTTATGCTTAATGCGGCTATTGCTTATGTTTGTTTTGTGAGACAAATCAAATCAGTGGGCTGTGAACCTGAGACTCCGGACGAGTCAGTCAATATTCAAATAGTAATAATACCACCCGCGGTGCAGTGGGGTCTTTGCTAGTTGCCCAATACAAGACGGTGTCGTTTCGGCAAAGAAGGTACGTAAGAAAGTGAAATTTTACTGGGAGAAAAAAAAAATGACATGGTGTAATACAGAAATACAATAATAAAACGATGTCTTTCATTGGAAAATGTGGCGAAAATGATATGGTGGGCTTACAAATAGAAGAATATTATAAAAATGTGGGCAAATGAAAGGCACTAAGGTGAAGTGGTGCATTGGCACTTTGCTACTTAGCGGAAATAAAAACAGTATCATTTCAGCATAGAAATATAAAAATATAGTGAGAGTAAACGATTTTTTCCTTCTTAAATAATAATTTAATAATACTTTTTCATCCTCAAACTTTTAAAATACCATTTTCCAAAAAAAAAAAATACATTTAATGACACTTTCCCACCAACCCTACCAATCGTCGGTCGATTCCGGTATCGTTGCAACCTCACACCACCATCATTCTCTTCCTCGATCATCACTCTTCAAAACCCTTTAAATCTTACTCTCGTCAACCCTGTCAATCGTCGGTAGTCAAGCGATTAGGGTTTACATAACCGTCACTCCCATGTCAAATTTTGATCACCAAAAGACTCATCGGTCTTCTCTCTTCAAAAGACCTAAAAGAATTAATGAAGTTTGCTCTTAGTTCGCCACCAAATCAAAAAGTGTATTTTTTTGGGTAGGTAAATAATATTTTAAAAATTTGTATGTGGGAAAGTGTCATAAAGCCTTTATTTGGGTGGAAAAAATCTCTCTCTCTCTCTCTCTCTCTCTCTCTCTCTCTCTCTCTCTATATATATATATATATATATATAGTGGAAAAAACCCTGAGGCTACGCTGGGCCACCCCCGGTTAGGATTGCGGTTGATTTGATCACTACTGGTAAATATCTTGTCATGTTGTTATAGTTGGGCTTTTGTGTAGCCTGTTGGGCCTTCGTGCATTACTTTGTTGGGCTTGTAAGTGAATCGTGGACATTCTTTTTTACCTATTCCTCTAAAGTCTGATTCACATAGCTATTTGGTGACCTCCAAAGGTCCTAAAGTATTTATGGGACAAAATGATTTGGTCTCATTTTAACTATAATTTTCCAACAATTACCTGGATCCAACTTATGAAAAAGCAAAAGGCCGAAGTTTGTACCATATTCCTTCTCTTCATAAAACGGTGAATACCCAATTTCATTTCAACCAGTACCATTCACCATATACATTGTTGAAACGTAATTTGCAAATATATATTGCGGATGGACATGAACCCTTTTTTTTTTTTGTGAAATATTTGTAGATACATATATGTCATGAAGATCAAAGCTTTAAGCATAATTTTGAGCCACTAATGCTTATGATAGTGAAAAATATCTTCTTGTATTGAGTTTGATCGAGCATCATCTTGAAGGGATCTATTATGTTGTTACCATCCAGTTCTTTATCAGGACCCAGTTATTACTTTTCCTCAGTACGAGTCACTTATGAGTTATGGCAATCTCTGGTCTTGTTTAAAACCTGCATTGGTTTGTGTTTTTAAAAGATTCCATATTTAATAATTTTCCATTGAATCAGGCTTGAGGCTATTGCGACCTGACAGGAATATTGTCAGTGGCGGTGGAATGAAAGCAGTGTAATGAGAATTGACAACAGAACGCTGGTAGGGTTGGTGGTGCCCATCAATTAATTTAGAGGCCGTCCAACGATTGATTGCTTTCACTGTTTTAAAAAAAGGTCCTTTTCTTTTTTTTTTTGGTGGAAGCAAATTGATGCTCTTTGTGTTTTATCCAGAATTAGTGACTACTGCTTCTGTCATTATCTCTTAGATCCCCATTGTTTCAAAAGAGATTAGTCTCAGTCCATTCAACTAAAAATAAATAATTAATAGGCGATCATTCTTTTAAAGAGGTTGAACATACAATATTATGAACGGCAGACCATTATTGCTATACATAAATAGACTATAGAGTGAGGTTCACCTAAATATAAAGGTTATGGTTATTGTTGTTGCTACGCGTCCTTCAAAATTCACCACTGAAATCCAAATCAGATTGCAGTTGAACTATTTCTGAACTAGGCAGCTCCATCGAATGCTTTTATTTAAATAAATACAATTTGCGAAAAAGCATATTTTGTTTTGAAATTTTTTTCATTTTCAACTGACAGATAAAATCGAAGGATGCTGTCATTTAGCATAAGCAATAATACAATACAGTAATAGAATTTTAAAATGTAATGCATCGTGATTCGTGATGCAATTTGTGATCTACTGATCTTGGGTGGGCGCCCATCATGCTTTGTAACTATCGCTTTTTTTGTAATTTAGCTAATGTAGCAACTCATTCATTTACATTATACAATGAAAGGTTAATTAGTCAATGAATGCATTATTCTTCTTTATTATAATATTTGATAGACTCTTTTAACTGTCCCCAGTTCTAACATAATTAAACTATTATTTATATTTTTGAAAAGGGCAAACGACTTATACCTGCCCAAGGTTTGACAAAACTTGATACCCAAAAGGTGTAAAAATAATAAATAGGTACCTTCTATCATGTACGGTTAGTAATTTCTGTTTACTAATGATGAAAAGACTAGAATACCCTTGAAAGTTTGATATTTTAGTTTTTTAAAAATTTATAAAAAACCCTCTAGGTTTACTAATTTAACTAAACACTTTAATATATAAAATTTTTATAAAATGACAAAAACACCCTCACCACCAGCAGTGCCAGATTCTGACCACCACCACCGGAATCTGGTCGAAAAATTACGTTACGACACAGACCCATCGGAAAAGGCCAGATCTAAGGCCAAATATGGCCGTCAACGGCCACAACACTCCATCCTGATCGTCGTTGTCTGTCAACGATGGCCAAGATTTGGCCGTTGTTGACAATCAACGACAGCCATTTCTTTGGCTGTCACTTTCCGGCCAGATCTAGCATTTTCCTATCAGATTTGGCTTTTTCCTGCCAGATCCATTATGGATCTGGCCAGAAAAGGCCAGATCGATGAAGTATCGACAATTTTCGGTGGTGGTGTAGATCGTTGTGACATATTCCAACTACCACTAGCGGTGGCTGTTGGAATCTGGAAAGTATGGATGGGTGGGGGTATTTTTGTTAATTTTTAAACTTTTTCTGGGGGTATTTGATAAATTTAATAAACTTAAGGTCTAAAAGTAATTAAAAAAATAGACTAATATTTCTCAAAGGGCATTCTAGTCTTTTCACCATTAGTAAACATAAATCACTAACAGCACATGATGGAAGATACATATTTGTCATTTTTTAACCTTTTGGGTACCAATATTGTTTCGCCAAACCTTGGTAGGTGTAAGTCGTTCGACCTTTTGAAAAAAGATGTTTGGAGGAGTTTACCTGCAACTTGAATTCACAATATCCTATGTCATAATTACTTACTCAAATTTTGAGAGTTTAGGGGATTTGAACTTGAAATTTTGTGTCTTAACCACATATCTTAGCACCCGTCTTACCATTTGAACTAATCTACGGATGAGTCTCTGGTTAGTGGTAGACTGAGGATTTTTGTCTAGGGAGGGCCTCTGCAGTTCTACCATTATTTACCAAACAACTAGTGAAAAATTTTAAAAAATCACCAAACTTTAAATAAATGAAATAATACAATACGAAGAACTTGAAAGGAAATAATGCAACAATACAATATTTTCTTACTTAAATAAATATATGAGAAGTAAAACCTTGAACAAATGTATTGAAAATAACATCAAATTCACAAGGAAACGTAAGAAATTTTTTACGTAGAAAACCCTCTTCAGTGTGAAAAGAACAAAAAAACCACGAAAATCTAGCGGTCCACTTAAATCTATTATAATAAAAAGAGTTTACAACAACCATAATAAAAAAATTCCACACAAATTTCTTATTTCTCCTCTTTTTTTTTTTTTTTTTGTCATTTATTTATTTATTATTTTTTTCTTTGCTTCCAAAGATTATAATATAAATTTTCATAACTTTAATCAAACCTAACTTAAGCTAAAGTCAACCAAAACTTAAATCAAGTGAACGCTGCGTTGACTTTTAATATGAATTAATTAAAAAAAAAGGGGAATTTTCTTGGTATAAATATAGATAGTAACTCAAATTTCCTTAATAATTTCCAGCAGCTAAACAGAAATGTAGGAAAGTTGTGGGTGAAGGATGAAGAATAACGTCCAGTAAAATATAGTTAAAGTTTAATTTGGGAAAGCATGAACATTCTTAGACACAAAACAAACTCATAAGATGCATACAGTTTTCTATCAAATTAGAATAAAAAAAAAAAAAAGCATGATTCAATCCTAAAATAAACTAAATTGAAATGAGCGATACACATATCTAAAACTGATAAAACAAAAAACGGAGCTAATTGTGGCACCTTAAGTAGTGAAAGCTTCAACAATTTCAGTCTTAAAAAGTTTTAAGAGCAAATAGCATAAGAAATAGAATGAGAGAGTAAAAAATGTTGGGGATAAAATTATAAAAAATGGGTGGAGCCGTGGAGAAGAGCAGAGACAGTTTTAAACTTTTAATATGATGTGGGCGTGTAATATATATATTAATAATAAGTTTTTTGTGGATCTGGATATATGTATAATAATTTTTATTTTTTAAAAATCTAAAGGTAGGCTTGGGTATATATTTTGAGTAATGCTACACTTACATCACTTTTTTACACAATTTTCATTATATCATGATATGACATATGTCACAACCACACAAATTTTTAATTATTTTGAATTTTTAATATTATAATAGAATTTGTATGGTTGTAGCATATGCCACATCATGATGTTTACAAAATAGTATAAAAAAATGGTGTAAGTATAGCATTACTCATATATTTTAGAGTAATGCTATATTTACATCACTCTTTTACACCATTTTATAAGTAATGCTACATTTACACCACTCTTTTATACCATTTTTATTACATATGATGTGACATATGTCATAATTATATAAATTTTATTATACTATTAAAAATTAAAAATAATTAAAAATTTATGTGGTTATAACATATACCACATTATGATATAATAAATATTGTGTAAAAGAGTGGTGTAAATGTATCAGTTCTCGATAATCTGTCACCGATTTTGACGTCGGCGTATATAAACAAATTTTTTTTTTTTTTTTTTTTAAACGTCAGGCGCTGGGTCCGCCCCTGTGACTCTGGTTATGTATAGCACGTTTTAAAACTAAACTAATTCCTGCATTTCTTGACCAGTAAATAAAGATGCGTGTAAGTTGTAACGATCTCTCCTTAAAAATTTTTTAGCATTACTTTTACCCCAAATAGTATTATATATAGCGAGGAACCGAGCTGCTTACTGCTTAGCATAAAAAATATAATAAAAACGTCCCAACTATTTTTGCTTTTAGTAATCATGCCAATAGTTGAGCCTACTAATCTCTCCAAAGCTATGCCGACACCTCAACCTTCTGTTTGTCCTCCACCTAAATTCTTGAAGGATGATGGTCTGACCCAAGAATGCAGGGACTTAACAACCTCCCTTCCTTCTGAAAGAGGTTGGATTGCCAATCATCTCTTTCGATACCAAGGTTTTTGGCACCACATTAGACAGTTACAAGGAGTTCTAACATGTCAAAGCCACTTCCATGCTCAAGATTCTGATATCCTCCTTGTCACCACTCCAAAGTCTGGTACCACTTGGTTAAAGGCCATAACATTTGCCCTATTCAACCGTTTCCTCTATGTTGATGATCCTCAACAACACCCTTTGCTCGCAAACAACCCTCATGAGCTTGTGCCTTTCCTGGAACTTAAACTATACGTTGAAAATCAGGTTCCTGATCTCACCACCTTAACCTCTCCAAGACTCTTTTCAACCCACCTGCCATCTGTCTCGTTGCCCACATCTGTCAAGGACTCAGCTTGCAAACTTGTTTACTTGTGTAGAAATCCTAAAGACACATTTGTGTCGCTTTGGCATTTTACAAACAAGCTGAGACCTGCAGAAATGGGTAAGAGCTCCCTTGAAGAGGCTTTTGATAAATTTTGCAGAGGAGTGAGCTTGTATGGACCCTTTTGGGATCATGTCTTGGGCTACTGGAAGGCAAGTTTGGAATTTCCTGAAAGGGTAATGTTTCTGAAGTACGAGGAAATGAAAAAGCAGCCAAAAGTTCATGTGAGGAGGTTGGCAGAGTTCTTGGGGTGTCCATTTTCGCCAGAAGAGGAGAAAAAAGGTTTGGTGGATTCTATCTTGAAATTATGTAGTTTTAATAACTTGAGCAATTTGGAGGTCAACAAGAACGGGAAAATGTCGACCGGAGAGGAGTATAAAGCATTTTTCCGGAAAGGAGAGGTGGGAGATTCGATAAATCATCTGACGAATGAGATGATAAAACGCCTGGATGAGATCACTGAAGAAAAGTTGCATGATTCTGGTTTAAAATTATAATATCGTACGTATGTTTGCTGTTATCAAAATTGGCAATATTTTTACTTTCACGTTGCTATAATGCATAGAATTGTCAGGTATGATCTGTCCATTGGGAACCTCCATTGTTAAGTAAGGGCTACAGTGGGAGATTTTTGTTGGTTAGTGTTAGCATCCTTGTTGATCCTAGGATCCCAGCCCTTTTTTTTATTTTTTATTATCTCTTCATTTTTAATAATACATGTTTTTATTGTTTGATTATAGGCTGGTACTGGTATGAATCAGTTCATGCTCCCTACAATGCAAGTGCAGCCAGCTCATGTGATTATGAGTCTTGTACGCATGCTGTCATGCTATTTTCCTTCATTTTCATTTCCATAAATTTGATGCTTTTCATCTATTTTGTTAACGACTATAAAAGAAAACTTTAGAGTAGTATCAATATTTAAAAGATTTAGTAAAATATAAATATTATTGTTGATTATTAATTTGTAATTACTGTTGGCAGCGGAATCTGAAAAATATATGTAGAATAAAAAAATGGATTGGCAAAAGACAAAACGTTTTTCACTTTATAATTTGAAATGATTATGGGTTCTTCTCTTTCTTTTAGTTTCTCTTTATAAATTGAAAAGACTATCGGTTCATCTCTTTCTTTTAGTTTGTTTTTGGTTCACATCAGTTTTCATAAAGAAGCTTTTGATCACTTTGAAAATTTTAAAATTTTTAGAAACCTTTATACTCATTTTAAAAACCCTAAAATTAAAGAAATAAAAAGACCCTAAGATAAGAACCCTATTGCCTATTGCCTCTTCCCTCTCCTCTCGTCTTCTCCAATATCTCATATTACCCATAAACCAAAATTCATCAAGCCACAGCCACCACTACCACTAGAGCCCCACTTGCGACCTTGTTGGCCTACAGCCTCAAAATACGACCGTAAAGTTGCGACCTTGCTGGTCGATACAAGCCACCGGCTCTTTATGGATTTGGTTGTTGAATATGGCTTATATTTGTTAACCATTTTTTATAAATTAAAAAAATGTTGTAGTCATCATTTTTTTTTATGGGGATTAGAGTCGTTGAACATAATAAGGAATTAAAAATGATTGTATTTCAGGATAATGGTTTTAAATACTACTGTTTTAGTCCTTTGACTAAGAGGGTGTTGTCTAAGCTTATAAATTGATCAAACTAGCTTATAAACTCTAAAATTAAGCTGACATGTTTGTATAACTTTTTTTGAGCTTATAAGCAAAAAAAAAAAAAAAAAAAAAAAAAAAAAAAAAAAGTTGGGGGAGGTACTTTTTTTTTTTTTTTTATTTAAAGCACTCATTTATAAGTTAGTTTAACCAAGTATATTACCACATTATCCTTGTTTAATTTTAAATTCAAGTATACCCTTATTTAATGGAATATATTTTTTAGTCATTTTAAATAAAATATTATAAGTCACATTTTAGCAAACAAGTCAACTACTTATCAGTCACTTAAAGTACTTTAACCAAACACGTAATTGCTTAAAATTTTAAATGCTTATAAACTAATTTTTAGTTTATAAGCACTTGTCTTATAAGCTAATTTTCATAAGCTCAAACAAACACCCCCTAAATAAAATATTTGTTGACTATTAAATTTATGTCGAATAACAAGGAACCCCTATTTTAAAGTTATCAAAATTTTATTGAACATTGGTATAAGATTTATTAAAATGGTGTAGTAAAATATATATAATATCACACACTAAAAAAAAAATACATTATACATGCAAATTGAATAATAAACAATTACAATTAGAAATGAAAATTATATAATATGATGAATTTGTAATGTATAATGTTCTTATTTAATTTGAATCTGTAGTATGTAATATGTTTATTTAATTTAGGGTTGATGTGTAAGTAATTTTTCATTTTTTAAAAGGGGTATTTTTGTCCTTTCAATTGATTTAATAGTTAACTAACATTTTATTTAGTCAAAGGACTAAACAGCAGTATTTGAAACCATTGTCCTGAAGGAAGTAAACTAAAACAATAGGGACTAAAAAGGAATTAACACCCAAAACTACATAGGATAAATTTCAATTCCATTATAGTTTTTAATTTTCTTTATTTATATACTTGAAGACAACCCTAACAAATGGCTTGTTTCCTATTGCCGTAACTTTAAGTTTATTCAGCTTTTCCCCAGTTTTAAAAATAATTTGGAATGCGTTCGATAAATACTACTTTTATAATTGTTGTGATTTCGAAAATCTATGATTGTATGAAATTGAATTTTGAAATTATTGTTATATGTATAATGACCAAAAAGGACCTTTCATTTCTTCAAATACATTTATAATACTAAATTTGTATTTAATAAATATTAAAATAAATTATAAAACTAATAATTTTTGAAAAATTCAAAAAAAAATTAAGCGGTGCCAGTCAAAAGCAGACAACTGTCGGTCAACCACCATTGATCGACAATCAACGTCGGCCAAAGTTGGCACGTTTACGCAACCACATGTTCCACTAGAACTATAGGTCATCAATCTGTTGAAAGCTATTTGAATCATCGGATTCTGACGTATATTTTGGCCATAGATTATGGGGAAAGATTAGGCCACCTTCTGCGGTCAAAGCGACGTTGAATTCGATGATTCAACAGTATTCTGATAGATCAAAAGTTTCCAATCCTGATAGGACCGAATGTGGTGCCAACTGCCAACAGACCATTGTTGACTAGCGCTAACTATTGGTCAACGTTTATTGACTACTGTTGGTGGTGGTAGCCAGCAACTACTAGTTCAATTTTTTTTTTCTGTTTAATTGAATAAATTATGAAATTATTTATTTATTAAATCAAATGTTTATTTAACTTAATTTTGTAATTCGAAGAGTTATGTATGACATGTCAGTCATTTTATAATAAAAAGTCAGTTTTAGAAATGTTATGCCTAAAAAATATAAGGGTTGACGTAAGGTCCAGTCAGCATGCAAAAGTCAGATCATGGGAACGCCCGCAGCCTACTTCTGTCAGAATAGTGGGTGTGCGACAGGCCAGCCAAGAGCTGTGATGATCCCACGTTTCCAATCCCTGCTCCAAATTGCGCAAATCACTATAGAAGGCAATGTGACATAAAGAAGGATTTTGCACGGATGATCTCACCAACCCACAGATTCAGTGATGATTGCCTCAATCCATTCCTCTATAAATTGAAAGCCCCTTTCTCATTGAAGGGGATTCACATATTTTACATTTGATTAGCTACTCTCTCTCTCTCTATAGAATTTTCAGCATTTGATACCTTGTATTACCATTGTAAAGTTAGTCAGCTAAAACGACCTGACCCTTATCATCAATATAAGCATCAGTGGACGTCGGACTTGCTACCTTAGCATCCGAACCACTTTAAAAACTGTCCCCATTGCATTTACTGTCATTTTCCTTTACATTCATGTGTGTCTTTTGGGTCAGCTCAACATTTCACATGTGTATTTCGTTGGTGTAAAAATCACGCATCAACAGTTTAGCGCTAGAAGGAGGGCCTGATTTAATGTTCATCCTTCATCAAGAGAATCTCCAACTTACCGGTCCTACAACAGCAAATGGCCCGCCAACCAGAACCTGAGCAAACTAACCAGGGCGTCGAGGGGCTCCCCCAAGTCCAGGGGTACACTTCTTCCAAAAAACCTTCAGCCCCGCAAAATGCTGCAGGGGATATCTCGTCAAGTTCATAGCTTGTCCCTGCCATCAGAAGCTACTTGGAGAGGTTTGACAATACTCTCCAGATGGTCAGCCAAAGGTTGGACCGTTTGGACCAAGGCGTGCCATCCAAGTCAGCTGCGGCGGTGCAACCGCCAAAAATGCCTGCAGGTCGCGCCAAAGGGAAATAGCCCGTGCCGCGAGCACTGCAGCGCGTAGACGAAAGGGTAAGCAAGTGGCAAAAAAAAGCCCCAGGGCTCCAAAGGGCCAGTAAACACCGACCATGTCCCAAATAGAATACCAGTCTCGTTGAGACTCGGTGAAAAGACGCAGCCCGAGCTGTCCCATGCCACGTCGCAAGTACACACCCATAAAAGTGCTGGACGGGGCGATTCTTATCACTGCCAGCAAAATGATCCTGATTGCCATCGTGCGAGAGGGTCCCATACTTTGCGGGGTGGTTCTTACCAACGTGAAGGTCGTGAAAATACCCCGCACCTTTCATCACCATCACACGCTTCTAGCCAGCGTGTGTCGAGAGTGGCCAGAACTGCCGGCCGAGGCAAAGAGGAACCCAACCTCCGGACTTTCCTTAATCGTAATTGCGAGGGTCGAACTCGCATGGGTGAAAGCAATCCCCAAGCGACTCCATTGCCACAAATTGAGGAACTGCAACGAGCTCTAGACAGACTAAGAGCTTAGCAAAATGAACAGGGGCAGGTCACATCTGCGTCCCCTTTCTCTCTCGAAGTGTTAGCCGCTCCACTCCCACCAAGATTCAGGATGCCCGACATGCGGGCGTTTGATGGAAATTCCGATCCGTAGGATCATTTATATGAATTTAACGACCTGATGGAACTTCACCAGGTCTCAGATCTAGCAAAATGTCGTTGTTTGGCAGTGACTTTGACCTCTCATGCCAAACAGTGGTTCAGGTCGCTTCCAGCGGGATCAATCAGTTCGTGGCTTCAGATGAGCGTGACGTTCCTAAGACATTTTCAAGCAAATCGAAAGTTCTCGATGCCTTTGAGCTACCTCAGCAATATAAGGCAAGAAAGGGATGGATCCCTCCAGTCCTATATTGACCGTTTCCACAGAGAACTCAACAAGGCGGCTCATACTCCTGAGAAGTCTGTTCGGACTCTCATCATAGCCAGAGTTCGTCCACAAACCGACCTGTGGAAAGAATTACAGGCTAAGGACGATGTTTCCCTCACAGGATTCTATAACCTTGCGGAGAAGTACCTTCGGATAGAAAATTCATTGGTAGCACTCCGCCGTCGCGACCCGGGCGCTTCAGGCAGTACGCCTGGTCGGGGGGATAGTAGAAGAGCTGATCGCAGAGGGGACGCTGACGATCAGCAAAAAGGGAAGAAACCTTATTACGAGCCCAAAAAGTCCTATGCTCCTGTCCCTCGTCGCGATCGCGACAGAAACCAATATACTCCATTGAACGCATTTGTATCGGCTATTATTGATAAATCCGAGGAAGCCAGCCTGCTCAGAGAGCCTGAGCCCATTAAAACTCCCGCGACAGCGAGAAATAATAAAAAATACTATCGCTTCCATCGGGACAACGGACAGAAAGACCAGCATGCATGCATGAACAGTGGTGGAAATGGAGAAGAAAGCATGAAAGGATCGATTAAAAAAAAAACGTTTTTCATACAAAGCTTGAAAAGAGATTATACCTACTCCTTTGCTTTGGATTGATTAA